TAATAAATCAAATGCAAAAGCAGTATATAAGTTCTGTATACTTAAAAATGAAGGAATTCAAGCAGTGGCATTAAAACATATATGTTTTACAATGAATAAGGCTAATTTGTGCCAACATCATTTAGCTAAATGTGAAAACTTTAAGACATCATTTACTGAAAATGAAATAGATGAAATATTAGCATAGCCAGTAGCTATAGATAAGCAAAAAATCTTAAATGAAGGTAAAACACTTAAATTATATACTTTATTGTCTTAAAATAACACTCTGAATGTAGTTTAAAATTTTGGTCTAAATTAAGCTTAATTTAGCAAATTTTAAACTACATTGCAGAGTACTATTTTGATACAATATAGTATAACTAACAATTACTATATAGCAATCATTAATTATTTTATAATTGGATAAAAGATAAAAGTTATAGTTTATCTTCTAAATGCCAAAAAATTTAATTACTACTGATTCTTCAAATATTAGTAAAACATCTAATTGTTTTTGGCATCCATTATTAAGCAAAGACATACCTTATTTTGAACACTTAGTATTTAAAATATGTATTTCCAATAGAATTTTATTTTCTTTTATAGAAAATGAAAAAACAAAAGCATTGTTTGACTTTATTATATCTGGTTTTAATTTGCCAAAATGTAGAATATTAGGAGAAAGAGTATTAACTAAAGTATCAAAAAACTTGCAAAATGAAATTTTAAAAACTGCACAAGATGATGAAAATGGTGTTATCGCAGCATTCGATAGTTGAACTAATGTAAAGCATGAACATATCTGGGATATAGTTTTAATTACTTCACAGGGACAACTATTAGTTTGGGAAGTATAAGAAATTAGTTCACAAAGGTCATGCACAGAAGATGTTATATGACTTATAGAAAATTTAATAACTAATACTCAAAGCAAGAATATAAAGATTAAAGCTTTTGTTTCTGATTCTGCTGAAGAGTATCAAGCAGCTAGATAAACACTTAACAATATACTGTTGAATCTTTTAAAATTAATCTTCTCAAAATCAATAACCTGTTAAATTTGATAAAGAATTAGCCTACCAAGTCTGTTTCTATTATATAAATCTAATAGTTTATATAATGTTTTTAAATCTGATAACCTCTCATGATACATTTATCATACATATTAATTTTGGAAGGTTCACAGTATTTACTTATTTAGGAAACTTAATATACAGTTGAATCTCTCAAAACTGATAATACATAGTATATAGATACTAATAGTATTGAGTGGTTATTGAATTTAAAAACATTATAAATAATTGATTTTTTTATCAGATTCAACAGATTATTTATTTTGACAGAATCAGTTTTAAGTTCTACAGTATAATATTTTTTAAGCTTAATGTTAATATTCTGTATTAAGTATAGAAAAAGATAAACATATTTAAGGCTATATAAAGTTAATTAGTTGTTTTTTATAACCCAGCTGGGTCAGTTTTGTTACAAAATTTTATAAGTTATTACTATAATATTTTTGAGTAGTTTTTAGTAAAAATTTTTATATACAGTTTAAATATATTTTAAACAAAGAAAATTTATAAAATTTTTATGACTTAAAAATTAAAAGTTAGGTAAGAAGGTTAGAATTTTATATTATAAGAAATAATTATTTAATTTTGTATGTCCTAATTATAATAAAAATTAAAATTTTTTAGATATGTAGCAAAATCTCTATAAGTGCATTCTCTATAAGTACATGCAATTTTTAAGTATATTGATAAAGTTTGATTGCAAAGACATATGCATATAAAGGTTTTACTATATACTGTATTTGTTAATTTTATTTTTACAATTATAAAATTATAATTATATTTTTTTTGATTTAGATGTCAACTTCAACAAAAATATCCTAATAAAATATTTCTTCCATGCATGACCCATCAAATAAATCTAGTTTTTGAAGATATATTTAAAGAAAATGAATTATTTTAATGTATATCAAAGGATGCAATACGAATTGTTGGATTTTTTCATAGTTTACATATTTTATGAATATTTTACAAGAAGAACAAATAAGAATTTATAAAAAAACAATTTCATTAATATCTTCTGGAAATACTCACTGGTGCTCTTATTATTTTTGTTTTTATTCAATTATAAAAACTCATGCTGCTTTAAAAGTAAGATTTTTTAATTTTAATTTTTAATGTTATAGTTAACCTTTTATAAATGCATTTTTCTTAGAATTTTAACTAAATTTTTTAAAATAAAGATATATATTTATTAAAAGCATTTTATTAGCTTTTATATACTTGAAATAAAAGACTAATGTATATATAAAAAGTGCACATATAAAGAGTTAACTATATGATAAAACTCTTTCTGCAAATCTATTGCACAAAAATTAACTAAAAAATTTATCCATCAAAAAACACTTATAACTTTTTATTTTACTAAGGAAACCTATCTTGGAATTCTAAGTAAACATATTCAGTACATCATTTTACATATAGCCTGCAAATATTAAGTCTTTATACTTAAACTCATTGAGAAACTGTATTGATGGCCTCTAGTCTCCAACTAATAACTTTTAGCTATTTTTCAGTTTTTACTGCCTTAATCTGTTTTATACTCTTAATTAAAATTGTAGTATATACTTACCCGATCAAAACAAGCTTTAAACGAAGATTTTTGACCCAATATTCACCAAACTACAACTAAATTCAATATTTACTCTTTTGCAAAACTTCTTTTTTTAACTTTTGTCTTCATCCTGTTTCCTTTTCCTCTTACACAGTTTTCATATAACCATACCATCACTTCCTAATCCATCTCTTATTAATTTATACCAATATTTTGTAATCAACCTATTAATAGAAACTCATTTATACAATCAAGTACTTCCATATTTAGTCCTTAGTAATATTACACAGTAATTTGTATTGCAAATCCTACTTGTGTTCAGTACCTGAGTCACATTAGTGACCCTATCCACTCTTGTTACACTTTTGTGTCATT